TGTTCAAGGGTCAACTGTACATTAAGGGATCATACACCATAATCAAGCAGGATTTATTCCAGGGATGCAGGGATGGTTCAACATCTATAAATCAGTGTTATACACCACATTAACAAAATCAGGGATAAAAATATAATTATCTCAGTAGATGCATAAAAAGCATTTGACAAAATTCAATACCCACTTATTATTATTTTTAGAGAGCACAAGGATAGGTGGGGGAGGGGCAAAGGAAGAGAGAGAATCTCAAGCAGGCTCCACACCCAGCAGAGAGCATGACACAAGGCCCAATCTCAAGACCCTGAGATCAAGACCTGAGCTGAAATTAAGAGTTGGATGCTTAGCCAGCTGAGCCATCCACATGCCCCAATACCCATTTATGATAAAAACTCAGGGTATAGAGGGTACCTTCCTCAACATAGTAAAGGCCATATATGACAAGCCCACAGTTAATATACTCAACGGTGAAAAGCTGAAAGCTTTTCCTCAGAGATAAGTTATAAAACAGGGATGCCCACTTTCAACACTTTTATTCAGTAAGGTATTAAAAATCCTCACCAGAGCAATTAGGCAAGGAAAAAAAAAGGCACCTAAATTGGAAAGGAAGAAATAAAACTGTCACTATTTACAGATGACATGATATTATATATAGAAACCCTTAACATTCCTTCAAAAAAATTATTCAGTAAAGTTGCAGGATCAAAATCAAAATACAAAAATCTATTGCATTTTTATACACTAATAATGAACTATCAGAGAAATTAAAATAATCCCTTTTACAATTGCATCAAAAAGAATACCCAGAAATAAATTTAACTGAGGTAAAGGACCTATACACTGAAAACTGTAAGGCAATGAAGAAAGAAATTAAAGATGACACAAATAAATGGAAAGATATACCATGCCCATGGAAGAATTAATGTTATTCACACTACCCTAAGCAATCTACAGAGTCAATGCAATCCCCATCAAAATTCCAATGGTATTTTTCATAGAAGTAGAACGAACAATACTAAGCTTTGTATGGAATCACAAAAGACCCCAAATAGGCAAAGAAATCTTGAGAAAGAACAAAGCCATGGTGCGCCTGGGTGGCTCAGGCATTAAGGGTCTGCCTTCAGCTCAGGTCATGATCCCAGGGTCCTGGGATGGAGCCCCACATCGGGCTCCCTGCTCAGTGGGAAGCCTGCTTCTCCCTCTCCCACTCCCCCTGCTTGTGTTCCCTCTCTCGCTGTCTCTCTTTCAAATAAATACATAAAATCTTTAAAAAAAAAAAAAAAAAAAAGAAGAAGAAAAAGCCAGAGGCGTCACACGCCTTGATTTTAAACTAAATTACAAAGCCATAGTAGTCACAACAGTATGGTTTTGGCGTAGAAACAGACATATCAATGGAACAGAATAGAGAGCCCAGAAATAAACCACACATACATGGTCAATTTACAACAAAGCCAAGAATATTCAAGGGGAAAGGATAGTCTCGTCAACAAATGATGTTGGGAAAACTGAACAGCCACATGCAAAGGAGTGAAAGTAGACTACTTTCTTACACCATACACAAAAGTTAACTCAAAATGGATTGAAGACTGGAACCTAGGACCTGAAACCATGAAGGTCCGAGAAGAAAACGTAGGTAGTAAACTCTTTGACATAGGTCTTGGCAGTGACTTTTTGAATCTGTCTCCAAAAGCAAAGGCAACAAAAGCAAAATTAAATACGAGGGATTACTTCAAACCAAAAAGCCTCTGTACAGCAAAGAGAATAAAGTGAGAAGGCAAATTACTGAATGGGAGAAAATATTTGCAAATAGTGTTTGTTAAGGGGTTAATATCCAGAATGTATAAAGAACCCATACAACTCAGTAGCAAAAGCAAAACAACAACCAGTTCCATTTTAAAAAAAGGGAGAAAATCCTGATAGACATCTTTCCAAAGATGACATACAGATAGCCAACAGGTAAATGAAAAGATGCTCTACATCACTCATCAGGGAAATGCAAATCAAACCACAATGAGCTATCACTTCACAACTGTTAAAATGGCTCTTATCAAAAATGTAAGAAATAACAAGCGTTAGGGAGGATGTGGAGAAAATGGAACTCTCATGCACTGTTGGAATGTAAATTGGTGCAGCCACTGTGGAAAACTGTGTGGGGATTCCTCAAGAAAATAGAGCTACCCTACGACCCAGCAGTTGCACTAATATTTACCTCAAAGATACAAACGTAGTGATCTGAAGGGGCACCTGCACCCCAATGTTTATAGCAGCAAAGTCCACAATAGTGTCCACAATAGCCAAACTATGGAAAGAGCCCAGATGTCCATCGACAGATGAATGGATAAAGAAGATGTGATGTATGTGTATGATGGATTATGATGCAGCCATCAAAAAATGAAATCTAGCCATTTGCAATGACGTGGATGGAACTAGGGGGTATTATGCTAAGCAAAATAAGTCAATCAGAGAAAGACAATTACCAAATGATCTCACTGATGTGGAATTTAAGAAACAAAACAGAGGATCATAGGGGAAGAGAGGAAAAAATAAAACAAGATGAAACCAGAGAGGGAGACAAACCATAAGAGACTCTTAATCACAGGAAACAAACAGGGTTGCTGGAGGGAAGAGGGGTGGAGGGATGGGGGTAGCTGGCTGATGGACATTAAGGAAGACCTGTGATGTAATGAGCACTGGGTATTATACAAGACTAATGAATCACAGGCCTGTACCTATGAAACCAGTAATACATTATATGTTAATTAATTGAACTTCAATAAAAAAATGTTAAAAAAATTAAAGTAGAACTACCCTATGATCCAACAGTTCCACTTCTGGGTGTTTTTCCAAAGAAAATGAAAATACTAACTTGAAAAGATATATGATCCCTATGTTCATGCAGCATTATTTACAATAATCAAGATAAAGAAGCAACTGTTGGACGAATGGATAAAGACAATGTTTATATAATGAAATATTATTCAGCCATAAAGAATGAAATCTTGCCATTTAGAACAAAATGGATGGAACTTGAGGGCATTATGCTAAGTTAAAGTCAGAGAAAGACAAATACCATATGATCTCATTTATATGTGGAATCTAAAAAACTCCACACCAAGTTCATAGTTGCAGAAAATAAATTGGTAGTTACCAGAGGTGCGGGATGGGAAGTGGGCAAAATATGTGAAAGGGGTCAAAAAGTAGAAACTTGCAGTTATAAATAAGTCATGGGGATGTAATAATATAGCATGGTGACTATAGTTAATACTGTATTGTATATTTAAAAGTTGCTAAGATAGTGGCGCGCCTGGGTGGCTCAGTCGTTAAGCGTCTGCCTTCAGCTCAGGTCATGGTTCCAGGATCCTGGGATCGAGCCCCACGTCGGGCTCCCTGCTCAGCAGGAAGCCTGCTTCTCCCTCTCCCACTCCCCCTGCTTGTGTTCCCTCTCTTGCTGTGTCTCTGTCAAATAAATAAATAAAATCTTTAAAAAATAAAGTTGCTAAGATAATAAAAATTTCTCATCACAGGAAAAAAATTTTAATGGATGTTAATTAGACTTATTGTGGTGATGTCACAACAGATACAAATATTGAATGTTCTATAGCTGAAATTAGTATGTTATGTGCCAATTATACCTCAAACAAAACAAAACACACAACTCCACAAAGAATGCATGGTTCCCCCGTGCCCCACATGGGCCTGTGCCACCAGGCTCTTTCTTATCCTCTTCTCTTGGGAGCCAAGGTGGACTATGACCTGAAAACTCTGAGTACAGAGACAGTGGTGCTTTTCCTCATACAGCTAGGTTTAGTGCTTGCTACCCAACTTTTCAAACTAAACATTATACTGTTTAAAGATGCATAATGTATGTGGTCTATAAAGGCAAGCAAAAAGATGATTAACACAAAATTCAGGATAATGTCTACTTCTAGAGGGAAAGATGGGGTCTATTACTGGGAAAATACAGGAAACTCCTAACAGGGCTCCCACACCTGGCTGCTCAGGTTGCTCACTGCACAACTGTAGGGGATGCCATTCACATAAAGTTTGGCTCCTCAAGTACTGAAGAGAATCCATTTCTTTGAGTGCTGGGTACATAGGCATTCATACTCTTCTCTAAAAGGAATATTACTGTTTCTCTACAGAACAATACATACCTTACTGATTGCAACAGGCGTTGGCAAACTCTTTATAAGGGGCCAGATAGTAAATACTTTAGGTATTACCGCATGTAAGGTCTGCGTCCCAACTCTTCGGCTCTGCTCTTGTATACAAGCAGCCACAGAGGATATATAAATCAGTGGGCGTGTCTGTGTTCAAGAAAACTTTATTTACAAAACCAGGTGGCTGGATTTGGCTTGGGGCCGCAGTTTACCAAACCCCAGATTACACAATTAAGCCTTTAAAAAAATTTATCTGTGGTTTGTCCAGGGGACTGAGAATAGAGCCTGGAACAAAGGATTCCCTGGAGGTATCGTAGGAAGGTTGGTAATATAGCCTTCTGTCATCTATGTTTATTTTTTAATAAATTGTGACTGTGAAAATGTTTGCTCTAAACCTGACTTTATGAACTTGGGGGCTTTGTCCTCTATAAGGTAAGATATTGAGAGAAGATTGCTGCTCAAACCTTGATTTTTTTTTTAATTAAGGAAACCATTTTTAGCAAAAGTATCCAGAAGATTTCTTCATTAATAGCACCAAACCCAGCAGTACCACCTGTCATTAAGTGATAGTTACCAGATGTCAGACATGATGCCAGGCACTTGACACACAGTATTTTCCTCACAACAGTGCTTCAGAGTAGGTTTTGGTTTTGTTTTTGTTTGTTTTTTGGTCTCCATTTTGCAACTGAGAAAGGCTGACTTTTTTCCAAGGTCACTGAGTTAATAACGCTGAGATTGGAGCCAGAGTTGTCCAGCTTCAAAGTTCACAGTCTGTTTTCTACAGCGTATTGCCTCTGTAGAAGGCCTCCCGTTTTAATGCTGCCCAAATCAATTTGGTTTTAGATTGTCTTCGCAGTTTCACTGACTTAGAAGAACTTGATGAGACAGAGTTATATATGTGCCACAAATGCAAAAAGAAACAAAAATCCACTAAAAAGTTTTGGATTCAAAAACTACCCAAGGTAAGGACTGAGTTTCAAATTATAATGCAGTTTTGAGAGGAAAAATGTTTGATTGATGAGAAGACAAATCATTTTTATAACTTTAGCCTGTGTTCTCTCTATTGGTCTCTCGAGTTGCTAGTGAAAGGTAAAGAAACCCTTTGAGAATGCATAATTAACATGTCCTGATCACAGTTTCCAGCGTGTGGAAGGTGGTTTCCCACCACACGACCACTGAGCAACAGCGGGGCGTCCTACAATTCCCTGCAACTCTGACATGTCTACCCGGAGACAGCGATCAGATTCCACAGGGTCAGGTCTCAGTCCCCCAAGACTGCCTCCGCTTCAGAAGCCAGTCACAAGCCCAGCTTGTTACTTTATGCTTCTGACCAACAGACTACAGATACGTATGAGGAGATAGGTAGGGCAGAGTCCTGAACAGAGGAGCTTCTGCCTTTGTGGAGTTTGGGCCTGGCACGGGCCTCGAACTGTTCTGGTTCCCCATCTGGAAGCTCTCTAAACCCCTCATTTTGGATTTTTATGGCGGCTTCATTACATAGGCTTGACTGAGTAACTCACTGGCTGTTGGCAGTTGTTGAACTCCCAGCCCCTTTCCCCTCCCTGGAGTTGGGGTGGGGGGCGGGGAGACTGGGGAGACTAAAAGTTCCAACTCTAATCACAGGGTTGGGTGTTGCACCCCCCCCCCAACCAGCCCCTATCCTTAGGTGTGGTCTGAAAGTCACCTCATTAACATAACAAAGACACCTTTATGGCGATCATTTAGGAAATTCTAAGGGTTTAGGAGATCTGTTAGGACAGGGGGTGAAGACCTATTTATTTATATATATATATTTTATATATATATTTAGTTTTTATTTTAATTCCAGTTCGTTAACATGCACTGTAATACTAGTTTCAGGGGTTATATTATAAATCACAACATCACAATGTGGAAGAAAGTACCATCAGGTTTCAAAAGATAAACTGATAGGCCACCTAAAATATTGAGAGACATTAGTACCAAGTAGCTAATTTTATTGAAATGTAAATTGTTTATAATCTTTGTCTGATTTGTCTCTCATCCAGGTGCTATGCTTACATTTGAAACGATTTCATTGGACTGCATATTTAAGAAACAAAGTTGATACCTATGTAGAATTTCCCCTGAGAGGCCTGGACATGAAATGCTACTTGCTAGAGGTAAGATCAGTTATCTTTGTTAGATAGTGAAAGATGGCTCTTCAGTCAAATCAAGTCTTCACATTGAGGTAGGAGATAGGATGTCACTGAGCACTGCTGCTAACTCAGTCCTGGGATGTCTTCTCCCTTTTTCTGTAGCCTGAGAACAGAGGCCCAGAGCACTGCCTTTACGACCTTGCCGCTGTGGTGGTGCACCATGGTTCCGGGTAAGTGTGTCAGTGGCTTCTCGTGCTTGGGAAACGCACGGTAAAGACCAGCAGTTTCACACCACTCTGGATAATTCTCCCTCATCTCCCTAAAAAAAAGAATTCAGATACATTAAAGTGAGTGAAGTAGAGTTTTCTTTCCATCTTGGTGTGAAAGAATATTCTTGAAAGGATGTTGTGAAGGAGGAAGGCACATGAAAGCAAAATGGAGAACAGTTCATTTGAGTTCAGCATTCAGAACCTAAGCTGTTTGTCCACAAAATCCTGAGTAGTCTTTACTCCAAAGTTTTTCTGTTTCCTTTGTCAGATGACATTTAAATTGGGGAAAAATGGGAAATTATTTGGAACTTACTTCATGTCATCTATTTTAAAGATTCATTTTTATTGAATTTTTGTTTTTCTGAAAATTTGTATTAGTTTATACCTTCTGATTTCTTGAGATTCGCTATTTTACCTTCCAACGTGGACAAAACCCTATCCATGTTGAAAACCCTTTTCCCTCACAGCTCTGTAGACATTGCTCCCTGGACTTCATCATTCATAGTTACAAGGGCCAGGTCTACTACCAGTCTGAGTCTCATCCCTTTATAGGCAACTTTTTTTCCTCATTAGATGGTTACAGGATCCTGTCTTTGGATTTAAGAAATTACAGTAAATGTATTCCTGGCTTGGTGGTTGATAGGGATCCTCTTCGTCAGTGTCTTTGGCTCCTGGAAATAGTGTTTGTTCCCCGCCCTTTTCTACTTTTTGGAACCGATATTACACGTACGGCAGCCCCCCTCCCATCTGTACGAATACATTCCAAGACCCCCGGTGGATGCCTGAAACTGCAGATGGAACCAAATTCTATATATACACTTTAGTTTTTCTTATACATATGTACCTATGATAGTTTAGTTTACAGTTATATTTAATACTGATTAATTATAATTGTGGTAGTGTTAGCTTCTGTTGACCTTTTGATGAGATGTTACAAGGAGGATCATCTTCTGGACCGCAGCTGACTGTGGGTAACTAAACTGGAAAGCAAAGCCAAGGATGAGGGGGACCTCCTATATAGTGAATTTTCTGGTTCTTTCACACATTTTAACCACTGTTCAATGATTTCCATCTCTGTGTTTCTGAAGACTGCCATGGCCTATTTTTCCAAATCACCAATTTGGATTTCATCTGTATCCAAATTGAAGATAAGCTCCTCTGTGAAATGTTTAATACTGTGGCAATCCCATTTTTCTGATAACTTCCTTTCATAATAGGAACATTCTTGTTTTATGGTTGCAGTCTCTTTTTGAAACCATCGGTATTAGAATTTTAAAGCTCTTTGGTTTTCTGCATTAAATTTGTTAGTGGTTAATGCTTTACTTGTTCTTCCCAGAACTTCTCTTTCATACCATCCACACCCCCTGCACCCCGGGTTTTGATGATTTGGGGCTGTTTATTCAGAGTCATAATAAATGATGAGATTGATCATTATTGGTAAATGGTAAGGGTTTTCCTAGCACTTGTAGGGTGTCCATTCTACCTAAGGCTTTTCTCCTGCTGGGAGCGCTGACTCTAGGGCTCCGTGGGTGAGTGGCTGGGTCATGCTAACAGAAAAGCACTTGCGGGGGCACCTGGGTGGCTCAGTTGGTTGAGCGACTGCCTTCAGCTCAGGTCATGATCCTGGAGTCCTGGGATCGAGTCCCGCATCTGGCTCCCTGCTCAGTGGGGAGTTTGCTTCTCCCTCTGACCCTCCCCCTTCCCATGCCCGCTCTCAAATAAATAAAATCTTTAAAAACAAAAAAAAAGAAAAGCGCTTGCCGGCCACAGTACAGGGAGGGCACTTCCCTGGAGGCAGAGTACTTTCTCAAGCTCAGGTTTTTTCCAGGCTGTGATGGAAATCTGTTCTTCAGTAGTCCAGGTTTCCCTAGACCTTGACCTATGCTTGTTAGGGCAAGAGTGCTTAGGTCTTGGGTTTCTCCATTAACCCAGTGCCATGTGAACAATGCTTTGTGTGTTGTAGAAAATCTTCAGTTTCTGGTCATTCGATGGCACTTTTCCCTGTATTTCCAATGTCAGTATATTCCTGGTCATTTCAGTGGATTTTGAGGAACGTAAACACCTGAGCTCAATCAGCCATCTTAAACCACAAGTCTCTAGGGTGTATTCTCTATTACAGTACTTATAATTTATTATATATCTAACAAATTCTATGACTGCGCATATCCTTTTGTTATTTCTGTGGCCCTTTTCTTTCATTTTTTTTACTTTCCCTTACAGGGTTGGTTCTGGACATTACACAGCGTATGCAACTCATGAAGGTCGCTGGTTCCATTTCAATGACAGTACTGTAACACTGACTGATGAAGACACCGTTGTGAAAGCAAAGGCCTACATCCTTTTCTATGTGGAACGCCAGGCCAAAGCTGGATCAGATAAACTTTAATACCTCCTTTAAATCATTATTTGTCAAGTATACCGGACAAACATTTCCAATTTTCCGTAAATACTTGATCCAAGATTTAATTTCATTATGCACTTTTCAATTTCCTATTTTGGGTTTAGTTTTATTTTGTCAGTGGTAGTGATGTATTGAACATGGGCACCAACTAATTTGTTTTTTTAGTTCTACCAGAAAACCTCAGCAGATATTTTGATTTGCTGCTTTAGTTGTAATAATTGTTTTTATATGTAGTTTCAAGAACTTAGTTCTATTTGACTTTTTTTATATTAATGTTTTCAGTTCTCACTTTGAGGCACACTTACATCAATGCTTTGTTACTCTCGCATGTTGCAAGCAGGAGGTGTTCCTGATTGTGAAGAGCAGCCTAACGGTCTGCTGCCCTTCACAGCTGTCACGGAGACCAGGTTGACTGGAAAGCCAGGATCATGTGTGCACATCATTTGTGACCCACAGGATTTCGCTGCTCAGTAATCGTTCCTTTTGATTGTAAAAGAGAAGTGGGAGGGCATCATTAAGCAGGCCAGGTAATTGCTGCTCCTGGTATCTCTCCAGGCTGCTGTTTATCAGCACTAACTAAATAAATTTGTTGGTTCAGTTGTACCTCTACTGCAAATTCAAGAATTACTCCTTTTGAGTTTTTGTTTTGTTCTGGGGATATTTTTTGCTTGTGTGTTTGTGCTCATGGAGCTAGGAGTACAGAAGAGTCCAAAGATGACCAAACACTTTGAGTGTGTAAAAATCTCAGACTCCGCTACACGGTGTAGATGTTATCCAGGGGGAGGAAACCATAGCTTCTTTTTGCCTTTCAAACCAGCATCTAGTTACCCCACTGGCTCTCGTGCTGGGAATAACTACATGTCCACTTCTGTCTTATTTCTTGCTTGGCCATCTGAGGTCGAGATGCCGACCTCCAGAGTGGATTCTGACCTTCACCTATACTTCAGGTAACACTATGGGGTCTGCTTCTATAGAAGGAAATCTGAGTCTTTGCTACTTTGGTTTTTAACAGCTCTCACTGGTCTATCCTGATAGAGCAAACTAAAAATATTCACTGAATAGTTTGTTCTTTAGTTGTCTTTGTTTCAAAATTTTCAAGAATAATAGGTATAGGCACTATTAGGATTGAACTCAAATTGAAATCTGGAACCAGAATTCCATCTAAGGAAGGTAACTGATTCTGCAAGTGGTCCAGGCCAGTCTTGATGGGGTGGGGGGTGGGGGTGGCAGTGCTTACAGACTGGAGAGAAGGGAGAGAGAGAGAAAACACACACTCCCCACTAGGCTCTAGCACAGGACCGTGCACTGCTGTCAGCGCATCTTACTCCAGTCCGTTTCTTCTGTTCTCTACAAGTTGTTACAAGGGGTAGAATGTCTTTCATATTAAGCCAGTCAGCCAAAATTTTTGGTAATCTTGTTTCTCCTATTAAAAGAAAAAAGCCAAGTTTGTTTTTGTTTTTGTTTTAAGTGCATGAATAATCTGATGGCTGTCTTCCTGGGTCGGATGTTTGAAGTTGCAGGAGCAGATGTGGCTCCATTTCCATTTTAATATTCGCTAGATAAATCCTGTATTTTTCTCAGGGCAGAAATCAGCTGCTAAACACTTTAACATGGCCTGGAACAAACTGCAGTTACAGCTAAACCTGCACTATCTGGTATGGCAGTCACTGGTCACATGTGGTTATTGAGGTTTTAATGAAAATTAAGTTTAAAACCCAGTTCTTCAGTCCCACTAGCTACATTTCAAGGGCTCAGCAGCCGCTTGTGGCAGAGAATGCTTGGGCCCAGGGCTGCTCTGTCGTTGTGTAGGGCTCTTGGACAGCGCTGGTCTGCATTTTCACTCCGGAGAAGAAAGCTTTGCTGTCGTGTTTAGGTCTTGCAACTTAGACACAGAGTCCAGGAGATAATTAAGAGGGAAACATGTATTTAAAATAGTTTACAGTGCTAAATTACATGAAGTTGAACCATAAGAGATTGTGGTATTTAACCTTTTGATCTACAACAGTGAAAGTTGCACATTTGACCTAATATATTAGTACATTAACACCACATAAAATTGAATGTGGAATGTGCCTCTTCTTTGATCTGTTTGGTATCGCCTGTGAATCCAGCTTCTTTTACTTAGAAGGCATACAGCTGGGACTTCTAACATTTGCACTTCCTTTGTCTCTCCGAGGGGGCCCACTAGAGGACTGCAGCATTATAGCCTTGGGCAGTGTGGATATTGGTGGAGAAAAACGGTCTTTTTATACCAAAAGGAACTTCGCGACAGCCAGACCACTTTGTTGGGGAAAGTGGTCCTCAGACAGGCAGCGCTGTTGGCTTGAGGGATGGACACATCTCCTCTTTGAATTTCTGGAGTGTTTTTATTGCTTGATTTTACTGAAGCAGAAATGTTTGAATGACATTACGAACGCTCCCTTGGAAAAGTGATTGGATCCATTTGAATTGTGCATTTGAACGCCAGTGATGTAAACGTGCCTGTTTGTACTTAAAAAATTTAACTGTGTAGCCTTATCACACCTATTTTAAAAAGCTGATCTTGGTGTGCTCTTCAGGGCTTTCCCACTGTGCCGTGCTGTCTCTGCGCGTGTGGCTTCTCGCGCAGGGGCCGTGGCGCAGGTGGTGCCTCGCTCTGTCCCATGGCTCCCTGGAACAAGAACACTTCCTCAGAAGTCCTCCCACACAGGTGGGTGATGGAAACAGTTTGTGGCAACACAAATCTCTCTCCATGGTGGAGAAACCTTTGCTTATCCACTGTATTCTACTCAGTGTCTAGAGATGACATATGTAATAGAATTAAACCAGTCAAGTGTACAGGCCCTGGTTAAGTGTTAAATGTGTATCTCACCTGGGGAACCTACTCAGCAGCTTGGTTTCTGGGGTTGGGGACATTTATTTCCTAAAAGCCAAACCTCTCTTCCAGTGGTTTAGTGTACATTAAGTTTATTTAGATTTATTTCTTCCCCCTCAGGCCCCAGCGTTCCCTCAACTCCCTCACACACCCTGTCGCTGACGTGGCCTCGTCACTTGGGCCCTGAAAAGGCTCAGGAGCAGTCTGTTCCTGTGGCCGGGGCATGGGGCCCGGGACACTGGGGTGCAGCCGCAGGAACGGGCCCGCGGGGCCGGGCTGTGGGCGAGGTCTCCGCCCCGCCTCGCTGGTGTAACGCCTCCCTCCGCTCTGAGCACCATGGACTCCAGACCCCCCCCCCGCCCCGCCAGTGCTGTGTCTCATGTACTCGCCCGCCACGAAAGCCTAGTTTGTATGATGCGAGAGGATTAACGGTGCAAGTGACTGATTTCATTTACGTTGTAATCACAACCCTTCTCTGCTTCACCAACCTGAACTTTTATGGATAAAAGTATTAAAGTTCTGGTCTCTTTCCTCTTGACTATTATTTCTGAACCGCTTTCAGGGGAGCCACGTCAGTGTCGCGGTACTTGCTCAGGGGACCGCCCGGTCGGTCAGCGCCCGCCCAACGCAGGGCCGCCGGCGTGTATGCGGCAGGGCTGAGGCGGCCGGAGGGCCGGGCGGCGGCGGGAAGCCGGTGGGCTGCGCTCGCGCCTGCGCTGAGGTGCTGGACCCGCGGCCCGTGCACGCGGAGGCCAGTGAGAGCGTCCTGCCTCCCCTCTGCCGGCTCGTCCTATAAAACGAGGCCCGCTTGCCTCCTGCAGAGCTAGACCCCGCCCTGAGGAACTGGCGCTGGGGGCTCTGAGCAAAGGACATTGGTCACCTTTTTAAAGTAAGACGTGCAAGTTAAGTGCCACTGTTAAAAAATAGTTTCTGCTTTTCAGTACGCTCCTATATACGACCTCTCTGCCCCCGTCGTCCCCTGCAAACAGAAAAACCACCGCCCTCTGCCCACACCGATCGTTTTTCTGTTATTTGCCTGCTCCTCTCAGTCTCTGAAAACAGGCAAATGGTTTTGCCTCCAGGCCCCATCCAGCCCGCTCCTCGCGGCAGCCTCCTCCTGGCAGCTGGTGAGGGGCTGTGCGGTGGCGGTGGGGCCAAGGGAGCCGTGCCCTGTGCTGTCCACGCCACCCTGACGGCCCAGACCCTCCCTGCATCCTGGAGTGCTTCCCACCCCCGCCGGCAGCATGCACGACTCCGTGGGGAAGCCTCGACGGGCCACGAGGACGGCCCAGTGGCCAGCCTTTTATGAAGCTGAAAGAACTGTCCGTTTCCAGAGGCCAGCCCACTGAAGAGTACTGGTTTAGATAGGATTTGCGAGGAAAAGGAGATAAGGCTTTGTGCGGTGCCCCCTTTGGGTGAGTGCAATGAAAGCCAGAGAGGGGCGTCAGCTGTCAGCCGTGGCAAACCATTAAAATAATTAGTCTGCGGTATTAGCAGTAGCTAGTTACCCTTTCCCTAAGAACTGCATCCTTTAGCTGTTTCTTGGTGTATGTTGTTTGTAAGACAAGACACCCCTTCCCCTTGGCATTGCTGGGGTAACCAAGCACCAGGACCTGGAGCCTGGTGTCTCGGATTTGGCTAGAATAGCTCTTTCCTGAGCTCCGTTGTGCTTTTAAAGGCAAAGCTGCACCAGGAACGACCAAGCCTTAGTTCCAGAAGAGGGTCCAACACAGCTGCTTCATCCGCCTGACTCCACACAACTGCACGCAAAGTATTTCTTTCTTTCCAATTCTTTCTAATTCCAACAAATGGGGGAATGAACAAAGGTAACCACTTGGGTGGTGTTCCCTGGCGAAGCAGAGGAAAATCTATCCCCTGCCTCACTGCAGACAGTGCAGCCCTTCCTGTCAGCATCCCCCAAACCAGCACACACAGCTGCCAGTTCACAGCAGCACAATCTCAGTAGGTCTGGGGTGGGCCTGGGAGGGAAGCAGGATTAGAAAAAACAATCCACGCAGTGAGAAATCTGTGACTTCAGGAAAGGAGGACTTAAAAGAGATAAGACCTCCAGGCAGTCGGCCTAGGCGACAATCCCTCCCAGTGAGCAGACCAAAGGCTTTCACAAAGACAGTGGTGTCTGGCTGGCTTCAAGGGCAAGCTGAGACTCAAACACTTTAACCTAAAACTGTTTCAAGCAGTTTTGTACTAAGAGCTCCCTCATCCATCCTGACATTTTGGGAAATACAAACGAGATACAACAGGGCACGTAATTGGGAAAATGTTAAGATGTAAAGCCAAGTAAACTTAAGCTTAACACGTTATGCACATACACACAGAACAACCTTGGAGAGCTAAGCTACTTAAGATAAATCTTTGTGCAACGACTGGGTAAAAACAGAGCCAGCTGGGAGGCCCAGGAAATCCCTTTGCCTGGCACAGGGCAGCAGGGTCTGAAGGCAGTTGGGCCGAGCTTGCAAACCATCACCACTGAGCAAAGATCACAGGGAAAGGGGCCTTATCACAGCTTCAGCTTACAGCTTTGAACACAAAACTGTCACCCTTCGCTCTTTATAGATAACTCCTATTAGGAGTGGAGAAGACTCACACATACATATTCGAGAATGGAAACATCCAATTTATAATCAGGGTCCCTCCCAGTGAGCAGACTGCAGGCCCAGACAGGTGGTCTGGCTGGCCACCTCCAATGAAAATGCCTTGGGAAAAGCCAAAAGAGCTCTCTGCTAAGCACCACTGTCAGCTAAAAGGGAAAGAAATCCCTTTTAAGGAAGCTATTTAACTTCAATAGGCTGCTTTTCTGCCAGGATTTTCAATTCCTCTGAACATGAGCCGGACCACAGACTGCCGCACGTATGTCTGGATCCTGACTCCCCCTACCCTGTTCTCAGAGCTTCAGTACCAGCTGTTAGCCAAAAATAAACACCATTCCTCAACCATATATGTCCACCAGCCCAGAGCCAGCGGGGGAGGGGGGGAGAGGAGGAGGAGGAAGGTCAGGTCCCTGGGCGCACACCATGCACATCACCCAGCTCAACCGGGACTGCCTGCTGCACCTCTTCTCCTTCCTGGACAAGGACAGCAGGAAGAACCTGGCCAGGACCTGCCCCCAGCTCCAGGACGTGTTTGAGGACCCCGCACTCTGGCCCCTGCTGCACTTTCGATCCCTCCTAGAGCTCAAGAAGGACAACTTCCTCCTGAGCCCGGCCCTCAGGAGCCTCTCCATCTGCTGGTACTCCAGCCGCGTGCAGGTGTGCAGCATTGAGGACTGGCTCAAGAGCGCCTTCCAGAGGAGCATCTGCAGCCGCCACGAGAGCCTGGTCAATGATTTCCTCCTCCAGGTGTGCGACAGGTAGGCCACCTCCTGAGCTGCGAGGGCTTTGGGGGGGTGCGGGGGGCCTGGCTCCCACCGCTCTAGGAGGCTTGGGGGGGGGGAGAGCAAATTACAAGACCAAGATGCCTCCATCTTGGGGAGCCTCAAACTAGGCCCAAGGCAGACTGTCCAGGCCTGTCCACAGCACAGTCCCTAGAGAAGGCATACAGTCATGGCAGTGGGGGTGTGTGTGTGGGGGGGTCTTCCTCCTCTCAGCCTCCCAGGTCCTGGAGCTGCTTCTGCTGCAAACAGGAAGACTGGGCTTCAGCTGTCGCTGTCCTTTGGGCAGCTGTCCTCCCTAGCAGCCGTCAAGAGCGGCCTGGCTGGGCCTGGATTTTCAAGGTCAGGCTCTGGGAAAGGTTCCTAGATTAAGCCATCAGCTTACCCCTCCGCTCTCCCCCTAGCAAACAAACTCCAAGGCTTGTGGAACGCAGCTAAGGAAGGACAGCTAGGGTGCTCTGGGTAAGCTGAACCAAGCCAGACTCCAGGAGGACGGGTGGTGATATGGAAGAATGGTTTCCTCATTAGAATATTACTAAATCTCACTGTACCCCTAAGGGAGGGTGTTTCAGCCAAATTTTTCAAATGAGCAAATCAAAGTTTTGAGGTCATGTGATCTACCCACAGTCTAGGATTGCCAGATTTTAGAAAATAAAAATTCAAGAAATCCAGTTAAATTGGAATTTTGAATAGACAAAATTTTTTGGCGTAAGTATGTCCCAAATACATCCTGTATTTGATCGGTCAACTCTACCCCTCGTGGAGAGGCTAAGCCACAGGCGACCCCCCATGGTCCCAGCCTCCTGCCTAGGGCAGCCCACGCAAGCGGACTTCTGCTGCCAGCCTCTCGCTGAGCCTAAACTGACCAGTCCTGTCCTGCCTTTAAGGAAAAGCACCTCCTGGTTACTAACAAACTAGGCTCAGCCAGTTTGCTGCCACCCGGGTTTAACAGCTACTGTTTGCCTGCCGGCAGTGTGACCGGCATGGAAGGAAACAGAGTGGTGGCCCCGCCTTGCCTTTTTTTTTTTTAAAGGCAGTCAGAAGAAAACAAGATGGACTTGGTTGGGCCCTGCAGGGATGAGGCCATTTTGGTGGGTTTAACAAGGCCCAGCAATCAGACTGGAGTGATATATGTGGGAGGGGCAGGCCTGCTGTGAAGTTGTTCCATTCCTGCTGCAAGAGAATTTAATTTCCCACATCAGCAAGTGTGGAGTGGCCCTCTCATGTCTCATGTCTGGGTGCAGCAAGGGGCCCCAGTGTCCAAAAAGAACAAACGGCTTGGTGATAAGGGTTCTGTGCTGAGTCTCCCAGTGCTGCCACTGTCCAACCATGGGACCCCAGACCAGATATTTAAATCCAACCTAATTTCTTCATCTGTAAGATGGGATAAATCACCCATCTCACAGGCTAAGAGGATTAAATGACACAGTAGCACTGGCCCACGGCAGGTACTGATAACATCCATGAGATCTGGTTCTTTAGCGATCCACTCTTGGCAGCAAGGGACAGCTGAGGATGGCGGGGAAGCAGTCGGCTCTTTCTCTGGTTTGTTCCTACATCAGGATTATGCTAAAGGTTCTTAGAACAAAACGGACCACTCAACACCTTTGGGGCTTAAACACCTAATTGTCATAATCACCCTACAGCTAACAATTTCTCCCACTTGTCAAATGAGGACTAGCACAGATCAGACATTTGTTCTGGGTCAGAGAGGAGATAAGTTACCTGAGCCCTCTGGGCCAGTTTCCTCATTCACAAAACAGGGTGCAGAGGGTTTGATACGAAGACTTAAGAAGCCATATGAACTTGGGAAGATGGAATGGGCTCAGTATGTGAAATGTGCCCCTTCCCCAGGCACAAGGGAACCGGGCTAGCCCAGGCAGGTGCAGTGAGGGGGTTAAGGGGAAAGCTGATGGGGGAAGCAAAAGCCTCTGTAAGACCACAGCTCCCACTGGCTACAGGGAGCCAAGACCCCTGCCCACAAGACAGGTCCTTCTTGACTGCAAGCAGCCTGATCCTGTGTACTCCCAGGAAAACTGAGTTACAAGTGCCTGTAGAAGGCCCTGTGCAGGCTCTTTACACCCCAAATCTTGATCTTCACTACAAGCCCACTGGTAGGCATTATTCCCTCCCGGCTGTGCACCCATACACAGAGGGAAACTGAAGCTCTGTGAGTGACTCAGCCAAGGTCACACCGAAATAAGCCAAATCCAACTTTGCTCAAGATCTTTTTCTCCAGCAAGTGCAAGTGCTGGTAAGGCTGGGGCAGAGGAGCCCCCAAACTTTCAGTACAAGTGGCCCTTGACTGTACCCACCTCAGACCTGGTTCTAGACCTCTTCCAGGCTGGCATCCCAGTGGGCATGCAAAAACCGTCCCAGTTAACTGAGCACAAACCAGGGGTCTAGAACCCAGAGCCAGGCATACTCAGAGATACGCCCCGACCCCAGCCTCAAGGGTTCAACAGTGCCTGTCCCTAAGCCACCCCACAGGAAACCTTGCTCCCACCTGACTGACCATCCTGCCAGGAGCATCAGGGCCTCAGCTTGAAGCCAGACTGGAGTGGTCACCATGCATCTTTTCCCGCACCCCTGTCCCCCAAAGCAACAGGCCTGGAGAGAACCAAAACACCCAGAGTTGTCGTCCTGGACCTTGCAAGCCCCCTGCCCACAGCAGGACCAGTGGCGGCTCAGGAAGCTAAGAGCCCACGCAGATTAAGGTCTGGTGGAGTGCAGAGACAGAAAGAGCAGGGGGAAAGGGGACAGAAACCCTGGTTCTGATCCGGACCGCGTCATCGCAGGCCAGTTCCTGAAACTGGCTGAGCCCGGTTCACTTCCTTGCCCACAATACACGGAGTTATGTGACGAGTCCCAGGGCTGGCAGGGAGCTACCGGGCCGGGGGCTGCTCCAGGGAGGGGCGGGGCACGGCGCGGGCGCCAACCGTACCCGCGTGGGCCCCGACCCGGGGCCCCCGCGATCTCTCCGCAGGTGCCCCAACCTGGCGTCCGTCACGCTTTCAGGCTGCGGCCACGTCACCGACGACTGCCTGGCGTGCCTGCTGCGCTGCTGCCCGCGCCTGCGCGCGCTGCGCCTGGAGAACTGCGCGCGCGTCACCAACCGCACGCTGGCTGCCGTGGCGGCGCACGGGCGCGCGCTGCAGACGTTGCACGTGGACTTCTGCCGCAACGTGAGCGCGGCCGGCCTGCGCCGCCTACGCGCCGCGTGCCCGCGCCTGGCGCTGCGGGCCGAGCACAGCGCAGCCATGATCCCGGACCAGCTCCCGAGCGCGCCCGGCACGGTTTTTCGCAAGCTGCTGCCGCGCTAGGCCGACCACGCCGGGGCACGACACCCAACCAAGGGCCCCGGGCGGAAAGAGCGACCTGGCTTCCAACCCCAGCCCCTCCACCTCCCAGACTGTCGCCACATCTCTGAACCTCAGTGTCCCCCGTGGGGACACTAATGCCTACCTCACATTACGGTTTTACGCACAGGAGTGCAAGATTAAGTAGCCGGATGCTGGGAAAACACTCGGCTAGCCCTCACTAAACACCAGCATCTATCCCGATGCCTTTCCGCCCCGGGTCCTCCGCCACTTGCTGTCCGCAGCAGGGGAGAAGCCCACACCATGCCTTGGGACTGCGACCGCCGTCAGGAGCCAAGATAACCCCCATGGTGAGGCGTGGCCACCCGGTAGAGCGCGGGCGCAGGCGGAGCGCGCGCAGGCGCCGTGGGGTTGGGGCGGGGCGACCCCGGCGGCCCACCGAGCGCCGCAAGCTCACCCCGCGGCCGTGCGTGACCCAGGCTCCCCCCGAGCATAGCCTCCCGCTGCACCAGTGGGCGGGAGGAGGGGGAAAGCCGGGGCTCCCAGCAGGAGAGCCCCCGAGCTCGCCACCGCGGCCCCTGCCGTCCACGCCTTCGCTCGGCGCTCGGGCCAGCCCGCACACACGATTCTAGAAAATTCGCTGGTCGATATGATTCTGAACATAAACCACATAGTTATCCTAATTTTCTACCGTTCTCGTATCACAAAGACAGAAGAAAGCATCTGGAAAACCCTAAGTAAAGACTTGAAAACAAAAGCAGCAGCACTGGTTAAGTCCTTTGGTAATGAGACCACTAGAGGCGCCTACAAAGTTAAATTTTTACCTGATGGATTTGCTCAACGTGGGCACACGCCTGGACTTCAGTTTCAGAGCTTTAGTCACTGATGTCCCACCTTTAGCCACCAAAGTATAGGCTCCCGGCCCCGCAGCAGCCTCCTGGTCCCAGGTACACGGTGAAAACTTGGGTAAGAGGGGAAGGCAGGGAGCACAGCGGGCTGGCGGGCCATGCTCACACTCCAACTCCGCCCAGCACCAGCTGGGACCTGGGCCCTTAAGTCACCTGAGGCCAGGTGTTTCTTGTCTGGGAAAGCGGATCTAGACCCCTACTCACCTGTTGCCCAATATTGGGGAACCAGCAAGGAAAAAAGAGAAATTACAATTTCTTCTTTAGTAGGAGAAGAGACAGTAAATACTTGGTATCTAAGAAACTAAGGCTACGGTGGGGGCGGGGGATGGGGAGCACCAGGTAAGGGGATAACTGGCAATTGCTGGGGAAGGCTTGGGGAGGGGGAAAGCGACCTAAAAGGGGTTGACCAATGTGAGCCTCGCCACGTGAAGTGAGGCAGGGAGCCGAGCGGCATCTGGCAGGAAAATAGTGCAGGCGCAGGGAATGATAGCTCGTGCAAGGGCTCCAGAGCAGGAGCCTGGCCTGTGAGCTGGGGGCCAGGAGAGCAGTGTTGGCGGGGGCAGAGTGAGTAGGGGGGAAAGGGGAGCAGGAAAGATCAGAGAACTAGGGATGTGGGTGGCTGTAGAGGCCTTACAGGTTACTCTGAGCATGAAACGGGAGCTGGAGCGCCCGCACCCCAACCTACCCCCAGCAGGAGCCAGGGTCCCAAGCAGAGATGATCGCCAGGTGAAGCCCAGAGGGGCTGAAATTTCTCCAGGCAGAACCTGTGGTGGGGCAAGCAGCAACCCACCCCATCCCAAGCCCTCCAGGGCCTGCTGGAGGCCTCATTTGCCGTCCCGGGCCCTTTGGGCCAGCGCTGGGCCCAGAAGCAGGTGGGTGTTGGCACTGAGGTCAGGCCTGACACAATCCCTCACCCATGTGTGGGGGGGGAGAGCCAGCCCCCTCAGGCCGTCAGCTGCAGGGGAACGGGAGGACCCCACTTCCTCTGGGTGATTTTCCGGTTTACCCACCATAGCTGTGGACTCTGGAAAGAGGGCTTGCGGGGATTTTACTTTCCCACTACTGCAAACGGTGTTGAAAAAACGCTTAGGCTTCCAGGGGGAAAAATGTTTATTTAAAACAGTACCACTTAGGGGCGCCTGGGTGGCTCAGTCGTTAAGCATCTGCCTTCGGCTCGGGTCATGAACCCAGGGTCCTGGGATTGAGCCCCGCATCGGGCTCCCTGCTCGGCGGGAAGCCTGCTTCTCCCTCTCCCACTCCCCCTGCTTGTGTTCCCTCTTTCACTGTATCTCTCTGTCAAATAAATAACCTCTTTAAAAAAAAAAACAAACAGCACCACTTAAACCCCAGGGCTTTGCTTTTATTATTTCTGATAAGCCTGAATTGCCAGCAGGTTCTGTTTGCCCTGAGTTGATGGTTTAGTGTGGGGGACAGTAGAGTCCTAGTTTCTGTCTCTCCTCTGAGAGCCAGTCAGCCCTCTTCAAACCTCAGCTTTTAAATCTGTGTATTGGGATTGCTGGAGAGTCTTGCTTGCAGGGTTCTAGTAAGGATTAACACGTCATGTTTGTAAAGCTGAAGTCACTGCAAGTTTAGCTCAGATAGGGTAAGCTGAGGCCCCTTTCCTTTTCCCCATGGAAGCTTTTTTTTTTTAAAGATTTTATTTATTTATTTCACAGACAGAGACACAGCAAGAGAGGGAACACAAGCAGGGGGGGTAGGAGAGGGAGAAGCAGGCTTCCCGCGGAGCAGGGAGCCCCACGCGGGACTCCATCCCAGGACCCTGGGACCATGACCTGAGCCAAAGGCAGATGCTTAACGACTGAGCCACCCAGGCACACAGCCCATAGAAGCTCTTTTATAAATGAGGGCTAACTTCCCTGGCGAAGCCTCTGGTGCCCAGTAACCCTCCACATACCGAGGCTCTAGCGATCACAGACCTAAAGCTGCACTGACAGCAGAGTCCAACACTGTTTCTAGAGCTTGAATTGGGCCCCGCCCCCTCCGGGGCGCTTTGGGTCCCTGAGCCAAGGGCCACCCGAGGTACACGGGAAGGCAGGCCCTGATGAGATCCAGGGCTCTCCACTCCGCCTTCCAACAGGTGCTGTTCACGTCATCGGGCATTGAGCAGAGCCCTGGACAGAACACAGTGCCCGGCTTCACCGGAAACTGCGCTCGACGGCTTCTCTCAGACCCGCGGAGAACAAGGGGCATCACATGCTTCGTTAATCCACAGACTCATTCATCTGGGGTTGCGGGAGCCTCGAGTGCTCTGCAGCGCTGCCATCCATCACTTCTGACAGGTTATGACCTCTTGGAGCTTTAGTTTAGTTCTAAAATAGGGCCAGTACCTTCTCTGTGACACCCCGATGAGATGGTGCCTCAGTGTACCGTGTCTGGAAGATGTCCTCACGTCCGCGGCAGCCTAGAAAAGCCAAGTGCCTGGCAGAACCCACAAGGCCTGGGTACCGGGAAGAAGCATGCTGGGTCCGTAAGGGGGTGATCCAGGAACACTCGGAGGACTGACCCCAGCTCCCACAGGGTCTAACTGTGGGTGGGGTGCTCCTTCCGGCAGGCACGGTTCAGCAAAGGCAGTCAGAAAGCCCAAGGCAAGCCCAGGGAAGCCAGGGGAGATGGGAGCCTGTGTTCCAAACCCACTTGAAAATGGCGTGGAGGTTACCTATGTCCTCACGGCCTCTATTAGAACAGTCTACAAACTTTCCCTAGCTCCTGAATGCTTATTTTGCTCTCAGTTCTGGCCAAGGCAGCCAGTGGCCACAGAGAGGAAAAGCTAGGGGGAGGGTGCAGAACCTCAGCCCCGGGGCAGGACGGTGCTCCCTGGTGGAAGGCTGGCATCGGTCACCATATCGTGCTGGCGAGCCTGCGCAGGAAGCTCAGTACCAGCAGAGACCGGAGCCACATGCTCCTAGGTCAGGGGCTCAGGTCACTCCTTGGGAGGCGGAGCCTGCTAGGGGGACGCGGGGCCGTGAGGCTTGTCTTACAGGGACACGCTGGCCTGTTTCTGCACAGGCTGAATATCTGGAGGGGACTCAGCTCCTTCGGGTCCACCATGGTAAGCAGGTGTGCTGACAGGAAGCCAGGGCTCCCAGCTCTAGCCTGTACACACCTGTGATCCAGCACCTTCCCTCTCCTGACCTCAGATTCGTGGTAAGAGAGGTCACCTGACACCTTAGCTCTAGGATTCCTCCAGCTCTAGGGTCCACGCCTAAGGCTTGCTTTTTGCTAAAAACCAAGTTCACCAGATACAGGTTTCATCCGACTGGCAGTGCTGGGCAAAGGCCACGAAGCAGGGAGGCCCAGAACAAAGCTGCCCCTGGGAAATCCTACATCTTAAAGGAGGGGGATCCAAGTTCTCTGGGGGCTCTTTAAGGGTCATAACAACTGCAAGGGATTTAACTGAATGATCCAGCAAACAAAAAAAACTGCCCAAGTCTCCCCAGAGGGGCTGAAAATGAATTAGGGAAAATAAACACCTGTGCCAGGCCCTTTCAGCCCCTCGGACCAGGGATTCATGCCTCCCTCTCTCCTCCAGGGCTTCTAAAAGAGAATGAAAAAAAGAACCGGTTTCCAGTAAAGAAATGGCATCTGTTATAAAATCAAGGTGTCTGCGCAGATTTTCCTTGCAGGGTCATACCTCCTGAGAAGCCTGACAGGTGGGGCCTGGAACCATGAGCATCAGCCTGCTGGGGGTACCTCTGCCCCTCAGTGCAGAGCCAAACATGGCAGCAGAGACCAGAGCCTCTCAAAGATTGAGGCATTATTTTTATTTAAAATAAATTCTGAGGGGCACCTGGGTGGCTCAGTCGTTAAGCGTCTGCCCTCGGCTCAGGTCATGATCCCAGGTTCCTGGGCTCGAGCCTGGCATCAGGCTCCCTGCTCATGGGGAGCCTCCTTCTCCCTCTGCCTCTGGCTATGCTCTCTCTCTCTCACGCTTTCTCTCAAATAAATAAATAAAAACTTAAATTCTGAGACTGCAGATGTATCCTTTAGCTCAGCACACCCTCAGCCCAGCCCAGCAAGAAGGAAAAGCCACTAGTTACCAGGAACCAGCCCAGAAGGCTCTAAGAGACCCCTCGCTTGGCATCGTCCAGGATCTCAGCAGCACACAGAGGCCTCCCTCCTCTCAGGTCCCCCCTGGCCCAGAGGCCTGGGCAGTGTGCCTTCCCACCCCAGTGAGTGCGTCGAGCCCAGAGCCCTTCACCGCTCCTACTGACTGAGCTCTCACATCAAGTATCGAAGGTTCCTCTTTGCCCAGAACCCCTGTGGCTTCCCAGAAGCTGTTGTCTCTCCCTCTGAGACCCAATTCCAATTGAAGCCTCTTTTCAAGTAATAGGCATTCTCACTGGGAAAGATCCTTGTACCACAAACCGTATCTGTCTTCCAATTTCTCTTTGAAAGCACATATTTTCTATCTTCCTTGTGAAAAACAACTGCCCGCAAAGCTCTCCATCTGGCACCTCATTTGAGCAGGCTGTCAGCCTGACCCAGTCCCTGAAGTACACGGGAACAGCTTGTGGCAAGAACTGGCTGTCAATGAAGACACACCACCCAAAGGCCTTGCCCTCTCTTCCTGTTCCCACTCCCAGCAGCCAGAGCCTTCACCGCTGCTCTCACCATGGCCCTTTCTTCCAGAACCACACACTCTGACACGCTTGGACAAATGAGCACGCTGCCCAGGGCCCTCAAGGGCTGCGTTCAAGTGCCAAGAGTGGGACCCCTCCCCCGGCCCCCTGAACAACTCTCCAGCAACCACCATTCAAGGATATGAAAGCCACTCACTGGTTCTCATATTACTTCGCACACTCACTTGCTCGTTCTCCTGGTCACTCATTTGTGCACGCTGAGTGCCTACCAGCAATGGCGGCCCCCAACGAACCCTGCACCCTTCCTGCAGAGACACGCCACCGTCAACCGCCCTGCTCTTTAAGCCCACCGCTGGTTCCTCACAGGCAGCACTGGAATCATGCTACTCTGGTTAGCTTCCTCCTTGCCTAGTGGAGCTGCACCCCATACTAGGTCTCCCAGGGCGACTCAGGACAGGCTCTTATTAGCAGGTTACACTCACAACCCAGCTGCAGAGAAGGAGGAAGGGGGTTGCTGAGGGAATGGGCCACGGGGCTGATGCGAGGGCCTTGGGGCGAGGGAACGAAGTGTAGGACACCCAGGACAACAGAATAAATGAAAGGAGGGGCTTCCTGCTCTCTGGAGCTGCTCTGTCATCTCCACGCCAAGCTCGCTCTCAGTGTGAAGGAGTGTTTCTGATGGGTCAAAACGCCGTCAGAGTGAGACTAGCCCGAAAGCTTGTTCTTTCTCAGAAGCTCCACTGGAGGTAACAAAAGCAGCCCACGCTCTCGTTCCTGAATTGGCTTTATTTCTCTGCATAAGGAACCCTGCACAGGCAATTCAAATTAAAACAAAATAAATATATGAATATTCATGTAAAACTGTCCTTTCTAATGAACAATTATACACAATGTACAATTTCATGTTCACTGGGTGGGTTTACAAAAATGTACCATTCCCAACTAAAAATGCACCAAAATGGTTCCATGCAAACTTATCAAAAGTGACCAAAAATGTGGAGGGAAAAACCTGACTGAGAGTACTTCGTCTTTTTTTGTACAATCACAGAAAAATAAAAACATCTAATTTCTTTGTTACATTTAGAGTAACTAAATGTGGCCACTGTTTATAATGTCGGTTTATGTTCCTAAACATCTATGTAGTTACCATAAAAGTGTGTCCACATGAAATTGGAAGTGAGCATTACTGAGAAAAGGGGCGGCGGCCCCCGCGTGTGGTCAGTAGTCAGTGTCCGAGCCCTCGGCGTTGTCCACATTCCGCGAGAGCATGTAGTTGTCCATGTCGATGGAGCGACAGTTGTTGATGGCGTAGCGCAGGCGCTCGGCCATGACCAGCTGGCTCGAGTAGGGGGGCAGCCGCAGCTGGAAGAAGCAGGTCTGTGAGGTAGGCAGACTGTCGTAAGGCTGTGGAGAGAGAGAGACCCGGAGCTGTGACTGCAGCACTGGGATGTCCGGGGGGGGGGGGGGGGGGGGGCGGGGGGCGCAGGACGCAGGGAACGTGGTACCACGCCCCCCAAATCAGGAAAGCACTTTTTGAGATGGGCTCCACGGACAGGAGTGCAGCACCGACTCGAGGGGAAGGAGACCCCAGGCTGTGGTGGAAGGAACGTGGGCTCTGGGGTTTTCTGGCGAACATGCTTCCTTGCTCTCCTCACTGCCCCCCCCACCCCCGCCTGGTGTGCAAAGCGCCAGCAAGCTCTGCCTGGCAAGACTACGTGGGAGAACAGGCTTTGCACCCAGCCTGCCATGGAGGGGCCGCCAACAGAGCCCACTCCCTTCCACAGGGAGGGTGCAGACCCGGAGCTGGGGCATAGAGCTCCCAACAGCTGGCGAAATGGAAAGAACACATGGGACGGAGCCCCCGCACGCCTCCACCCTTCCCCGTCCCTCCTCGCGTCCCTCCTCGCGGGCCCTCTGCTGCCTCGGCTGCCTTGGCTGCCGGCACACAGCTCACACGAGGAAGGAGCAGTGAATTAAATCCTAGTCCGTCCGTTAAACGGACAGTGACGCAGTCCTTTAAAATGATAATCATGATGGCTAGCAGCAGAACAGAAAAGTGCTTAGGACAGACTGAGCCAAACACAGCACATACACACCACAGGCACGCCACAGAGGTGGGAGTAGGGGAGGCTGCTACGGCAGCGGGGGGGGGGCATATGCTCCCTGGCCCTCCCTGCAAACGTCGCCATCTTCCACACTCTCTGTAATGATAGTAAGTTTTTACATTTTAAAATAAAGGGACTTGCCCTTTCTTTCTTGCTCAACTCCTTGAAACCCTCCCCCTCCTCCTTGGAACCCTACACCTGGCGAGTGCATTTCAAAGAGGTGGGAGCACAAGGGCCTGGAGGGCCCAGAAGCCTAACAGGGCCCGAGCCAGTGAGGACACAGAAAACTCAAATGCAGGAACAGCATAACTAGCAAAGACACTGAAGGGCCGTGTCAATAGGTGCCTCTGATTTGGAAGGTGGAGCAATGGTCTAAAAGTCACAAAGGAGGGACCCACCGTGGTCAGTTTTCTGAGGCTCAAAAGCCTCAGGCAGGGGATTAGTGGTGGATTAACCCCTGGGATGGTAGCCTGGGACAGACAGAAGGCAAGGGTTTTTTCCAGAGCTGAATAGAATCAAACCGTTGCCTCCACCCACCTCTCTCTGAAGCAACAAAACAGATTTACAACTTATAGTTTCTGGCAAGTCATGTAGAAAATTTATGGAAAGGCTCTTTTCATAGCCCTTCCTGTGCGTGGCCTCTCCGGCAAGCCTAGCCCAGGAGTGGAGCCCAGGCAGGCAGCTTCAGGCGGCTGGGGGAGGGATGGCTCTGGCTATAGCAACCTCCAGGAATAGTTACTGGAAAAACACCAGAAAGGCAGATGCTGAAACTGGCAGGAAGGGTCCTTGTGTGAAGAGGCCCTACTTTCCTTACTGTTTCTGGAATCAACAGCACGGGCCCTGCTCGGAGGACCTCCCAGCTCTTGGGCAGTTGGGGATGGAAAGAGAGAAAGAGAACACAAACACTTCTAACTTAATGCTGGGTTCAAGGAATGTACCAAGTATCCTGGAGGTGGACAGAAGGAGATCTAAGTCTGCCCTCGAGAATGGTCAAAGGCAGCAGGAAAGCATCCAAGAGGGCTTCCTGGAGGAGAGGACACTGGTGTGTTGGGCCTGAAGGATGAGTAAGTACTTGCCAGGCATAGATGGAAAGGGGTGTGAAGGAGAACTTACTAAAGGAGAGGGACCAGCCTACACAAAGGCACAGAAGTTTAGAAACAGCGTGGTGTGTCGGGAAAAAAAGGCAAACGGTCTGTCCTGGCCAGAACATGGTATGTGTTAAGAGGTGCCATCAGAAAGCTGGGGCAGAGACCAGACTGGAGATATTTAAGGCCACTGAAGCAGTCAGCACTTATTATGGAGTCAACGCAGGGGGGCCCCTCCAGCCTGAAAGGAGACTGACATGGTCAGATGGGTGCATGAGAAAGAGGTGTCTGGCAGCAGTGTGCACTGCAGGTTCTAAGCCCTTTTCTTCCTTGGCCATCTGTCGTCACGGCAGCTGGGGCTCTTCACCTACCAGGCCGGAGAGGAGCGGCCCGCCTGCTCCACAACACACACCGCACGAGCAGCCGCGGGGCATGCGCACCAGGGCTGGTCAGTATCTTCGTGAAAACACACAAGACCACATCCCAGTGCACCAGTCACACGATGAAAAGGCCCAGGGAATAAGAGGCAGAGGCAGCATGACAAGCCCTCTGCCAAGCTGAGCTTTCCCTCAGGAAGGTACTGGGGGATTTATCAAAGGTTGCTGGTTGTAGTGTGCTTTCTACATCCAGTTAGGGCTTTTTTTCACTCAAGTTATGTTTCTGAACAAGTTTTTCCGCTTGATTTTTTTTTTTAAGTCTGGAAATCCCAAACATGAAGCCTGAACTGGCAGGCCTACTCGAGGGTCACAGTGTGGTTTTCCCAAGAGGCAAGCAGCCAGGAAGCAGTGGGGCAGACATGACGAGGAAGGCCGAGGAGCTTACTTACCCTATCAACCTTCATGATCTGAAATCTCTGAGAAATGTCAGCAGTGTTGGCCGGGAGTCGAGATCTTCCAGACACAAACCTCATGAAAAGCACGCGCTCCTCATTGGAGAACTCCTCCAGCGTGTGCCAGAACCACTGCACCAGCTGGTGCTGCTCATCTACCTCCCGGTACCGCACCACTTTCTTCAGGACTTCCACGGAAATCTCAGGCATCCCACACACCATCTGCTCCAGCTGCTTGGCTGTCAGGAGTGACAACAGCGGCACAGGGACGATCCAGGACATCCCTTCTCGGACGGCAGCTACCTGCTCCCAGGAGAGGTCGTACATCAGACATGTGTCTGCAGACTGGGCACCTCCCACCTGCTCATCCGTTCCCCAAACCCTCTATTTGTCCCCCAGAACTCCAAGCGCACATGGCCCACTCCCCTGGCTGCTGACCCTTTATCCGAGCTTCTCCCTACCTGTGGGACTTGTACACTCCTTCCGGTCCCAGGTCAAGTCAATTGAGAAGCCTGACCTCTGCCCCCACAAAACTCAGCCCACCCCCCACCCCTCAGTGTCAACTGCACTCACTTATATTCCTAAACATGTGTGGCTGCGCACTGTCACACCAGGCTCTGTGGGCTACTCGGGCTCGTCGGCAGGCTTAAGAAGCCCCTAGAGGACGTGTCTAGCTTCTACTGTTTTTGTCATTCATATTTTTCTTTTGAAAAGAGTTATATCCTTTTGGTAAAACTTATTTGTACTCATTGAAAAAAAAAAAAGTACAAAGAAGAAAGTAAAACTAGCAAGGCCTCCTGTAGGAAGGACAGAGCATTTAATTGGGAGACTTAGGGTCTGAATCCCAGCTCCAGACTCTTCTTTTACTTTAATTTTCTCATCTGAGAAATGACGCAAATACCTGCTGCTCACACGACTATGATGAGATTTTTCCCTGTAAGTCTGTGTGACCTGCTGCTTCCTTCTCCTAGCCTGGTGCTGAGAACAGGTCGGCTTGGGGGTGCTGAAGGGAAGCTGCCAGAGGCTACCCACAGTCTGCTTCAAAAACACCCCAAGGCTGCACAGCAATGCACACCCTACACACAGACTCATTGCTGTTCAGGACTTGCTCATAAACACTTCTTCGCTCTTGGCCAATTCAGAACCATCGATGATAAAAAGCAAAAGGAAAAAGCCTGAGGACCCAAGCAGGAGCCACACCTTGGGGAAGGCCCTGGAGCTGTGACTGGTACCAGGGTGTCCTGCCGGGGCCAGGGAACAGGACTGGCCGTGAGGGCAGTCTGGATGGGCATTAAAGGGAAGACCCCAGCCAAAGTTTGCCCAAACACAAGCTGTCATGCCTGGCAGAATACAAACCAAAAGCTGTCTGGAAAAAAATGAGGCTGAGGTATGGGGCCGGCTGCCTGGCAGGGAACAAATGGGGACAGCTATGGGAAGAACACTGGGTTCCAAGAGAAAGAAGTCCTCACTGCTGAGAAATGAACAAAGCCACGGCAGAGCTGAGCTGTGGTTTGGGACCCTAGCTTTGCCTTGGGCACTTCATGTCATTTCTCCGACTAAGTGCTTTCACCTGTGAGATGGTGACAGCAATCCTTCCGTCACAGAGTCACTGAAGGAAAAACTGCATATGAGGCAGCCTGGCCCCACACCTGGCACGCAGGAGGTAGTTAATGTATTTTTAGTCAGTTATTTACCCTGAGGATTAAAATTCTGAACAACTGGAGACAAACCCTAAGCCCTGGCTGTG